ACTACGGTTATTTAAGCGAAACTTGTTTCTGATTAGTTTCACATTTAGTGAACTAAATACAACAAATATTGATAATATTAGAAAGTTATTTCACTTGAAGCTCGAATTTCAGTGGAGCCCAAATGGGTAAAGATGAATCGGGCATCTACCGATAACAAGGAGGAGATTATACGAGAGAGAGAAACGAGAGCTTCTGAGCTGTCGTGCAGCCAACTAAAAAAGTCTCTAGAATATTGAGTGGAATGAAATAAACTACTGAAGCTCTGTGTTCCGTTTGGAACTCAAAGGAATTACAGGCGATCGCCAGTCGAATACTCAGTATGTAGCAATATCGTAAGCCGAAGTCACCTTTAGCTGGCTTAACGATTCCTCACACAATATCCGCTTTGTCACGCTTGGATGACTAATTCATCATTTACCATTCGGATTCCACTGGAAGTCCTGGCGTGTGACATCACTCGACGATTTCCTCAAAGTGTGTTCAATTAACCTCCACTTCGTTATGCTTAATGGTTGATTTGAGTAGTTTCTAGCTAAATACAAATGGATAAATTGGGCTTTCTGCACAATGTTTATCTTCTAAGTTCAATACTATAAGACAGCCACATACATAAATGTGCGATGCACACTTTTGGAAAGTAACTAGTGAATATGTCATTTTCGAAGGGAAGATGGCGTCAGAAAAGCTTTTAAAAAGTGTTTGCAAATGCCATCAAAAGTTTATCTGCTAAGACCCGTTATAAAAGCATAAAATGGAAGTTATAGATTCAGATTTATTGATTGTGTATGGGAGGCTTAAAGCGTATGCTAATCCTTTTCTAATAAATCTCTGTCCTTCTCCAAACCTTTATTGAAGCAGTCCACTGAGGGTAGTAACCCCACTGTTTCTAGCAGCCGGTTCCAGGATCTGGTGATTCCGTGTGAGGAGCAATACTTCACAGGAATATAGTTTTCCCTTGTCTTCTGAACTCTCATGCTATGTCCTCCAGGGTGTTTCGTCCTGGTGGGAAGGGAAAGAGAGAATAGGTCACGCTCGTAGTCATTATTTGAAATTTTAAACATTGTAATTAAATCTCCTCTCTGCCTACGGTATGATAGGGAGAAAAGATTGAAACTGTTTAGTCTTTCCTCGCATAATGAATTAGTCATGCCAAGAATCATACTTGTTGCCTTCCTTTGAACCCTTTCCAGAATATGTGAGTTCTCCTTAGGACAAGGACTGGCTGCCTGGATACAGTTTTCTAGTCTTGACATCACCAGAGGTGTATATAAAGAGATGAACATATCTCTGGTGATTCTAGTGAAGGCTCTGTGAAATGCCCACAAAGATCTGAAACTATATACTGCCATAATGCGACAATGCGCTATAGTTTCTTTATTGTGTGATTTACTATGACGCCTAAGTTAAAATGAGTCTGAACTGATGGAAGTGTTACTCCGTCTAGTTAGTAGGACCTGGCGCTTGCGTGTCCAGTACGCATGGTTGTGCTTTTCGCTACATTGATTGAGATCATCCATTCTTTGGACTGGGCTAACAATTTGTTAAGTGCTCTTTGCAACGTGAGTGTATCATTGTGGACACTGACTCTTTAAAGCTATTTTTCGGAGAGTGAAAGTTTAAAATATCTTGGCTTTTTATGTTTGATAAACGTGGGCCAGTTTCAGCTAATAAATAAATCCATTCAGCCAAGTCGTGCACCCAATGTTTTCGGTTTGAAATGTACACTTGAAACTTCGAATAATTTCTATTATATGTCTCCTGCATAAAGTTATTTTATGTCAGTTTGTTATTGATTCAGATTCAGATGAGAAGGACACATGCTGCCATGTTAGATTTGTTTAGGTAAACATTGTAAACATTGATTCCCTATTTGTTTACTATTTACCTATGGATTCATTTGAAGTAGTAGTAATAGTAGAAAAGACTCACTGTATGTAAGCTTACTAACGAAATTTATTTTTGTAAATTAAATATCCCCATAGTGTAAACAGAACAGGATGATTCTTGAGCGAACAACTGTTTTCGATAACTTCTTCTTCATTATGGATAAGATTTTATTTTGATAAATCACACAGTGTTGTTATACAGTGATATTAACTGATGACCACCTTTCGAGCACAATTAATTACTGTTCACCATCATATCAAGTCAGTCACACAACTTTCCTGCTTCTTCTATGTGCATGAGTAAAAATTGATTAGACATTTGAATAAAATCAATATAAGATAAAGTATATTCAGAAATAATAATATGAGTGTTATCAATCAAATACAATCAGATGGGAAATACAATGTTTTTTTACAATAAAATAAGTAACTTGTTAGAATGTTATCATGTATGTGAATTGAAATCGAATTTTAAGATTATTTATTATCCTCCTCTGATTTGACTGACTGGTGGTAATAATATCTTCCATATCTCTGGTATTTGTTTTGAGTCACTTCCACTGAATGTGTTGGATGTAGACTCGATGAACAAGGAGTCAGTAATCAATCTCCCTCTCTCCACCTACCTATATTACTTTATAGAATTTCGAATCTGTCCCACCATACTTTGTGGTTGAGTGTAAATGCATGCAGTGCGATTGCTCATGTTTTTTCTAAATTACTTATCTTCGTGGGATCAATCAGTCTAACCTTAGCTAAATTCTTATGTTCTGATAATCTCACTACTCCTGATCTACTAGTTTGACGTATGTAGTTGACTTCACTGCAAGGTATTTTGTAAATTATGTAATTTTGTTTAATTGGGTCAACCGACAGGATCCTTTAGCTTACAGAGCTTGTAGGTTGAGTGAATTTGTAGGTTTGAATGCCACAACCCTAATTCTTGCTTTATTGAGAATCCGACGTAGGGTCTCATATGTCCCCACCTTATATGGTAAAACTGTAGATGCCTTATATTCTTTCCTTCACCTTATTATGTAACTGCAATATATTGATAACACTAATATTATTATTTCTGAATATACTTTATCTTATATTGATTTTATTCAAATGTCTAATCAGTTTTCACTCATGCACATAGAAGAAGCAAGAAAGTTGTGTGAGTGACTTGATATGATTATGAGGAGCAATTAATTGTGCTCGAAACGTGGTCATCAGTTAATATCACTGTATAACAACACAGTGTGATTTATCAAAATAATATCTTATCCATAATGGAATTATACTCTACCATAGCGCCGACGTTTTTACTTAAATCAACTTCTGCATTAGGCTATATGGTTATAAGTCCATGAATATTAGAATATAAATAGCCAGTAAACACAAATGAAATTTATATCAGAAAGTGTACTGGAGTACATGTATTAGTTCGTTTGTAAACTTAATGTATAGAAAATATACAGTTAGTCATTCAGAACATAAGGCAAAATGTGAATAGAAAACTGGGTGACATACTGTAGTCATGTCATGTTATAGGATGCCTTTCTTATTCCTTTTCACCCAGTTTACTTCATTCCATAATTATCCTTATAATCTGTCAAGTTTTGTAATTTACACTAAGCTTATTTTGATGTGGTTGTGTACTCTGAGCTGCATAGTTAATTTGCGAAGCTTTCATCACCCTACTAGGTGACATCTTCAGCGCATACTTCAATTTCAAGTGAGCTTTTAGATTTCTCCACGAGTTTATTAATCATCTCTTCTGGTGACCTTGGACGTGATTGGTTGCTTTTGTGTGTTTTCACACCTTCTAGGCTACTTGTATTGTATTTTGTCAAAATCTATCAGCCGATAAGAAAGAAACCTCACACACAAAGGGTCAAAGTTCAAGTCAAAGAAACAATCAAATCCAATCCAAGTAGCCTAGAAGATTTGAAAACACACAAAAACAACCAATCACGTCCAAGGTCACCAGAAGAGATGATTAATAAACTCGTGGAGAAATCTAAAAGCTCACTTGAAATTAAAGTATGCGCTGAAGACGCCACCTAGTAGGGTGATGAAAGCTTCGCAAATTAACTATCCAGCTCAGAGAACACAATCACATCAAAATCATCCACCTTAGCCACAAATCTCCATTATATCTACACTAAGCTTACCACGGTTTTAGTATTTTATTACAGTTCACAATTTAACCTCTTTATTTTATCACTTCACTTGATATCTGTCAGACTTTGATTGAACATATATTCAGTGTCCCCCATTTGTTGGTATTTGTTTTGTATGTACCTCGTGATAATCATATTTCTCTCACACCACTGAATATAACTCAGTACCCCCCACCACCACCAACAACCTCAATGAAATTTCCCTTGATTATAAATACATTAATATGTCACTTCTTTAATTCAATAAATACTTTCCCATCGATTGATTGGACTGAAGTGCTCGGTCTCAGGGTGACATGTCGACTACTTGTGCAGATATTTTGACGACGTTTGGTCATATAACCTCAAGTCAACTGGTGGATAGTGATGAGTCCAAAAAAGGACGAAATGCGCATCCTGGATTCCACTATGCTAATCCACCAGTTGACTTCAAGCATTTCACTTATTTGTCTATTGACATCTTATCCTATTTTGATTGACTATCCAATACACAATGTTAACTAACGGATCACCATTCCATCTTTCACATGTACCCCAGTACACTTTCTGACATAATTTTCACTTGCCTTTACTGGCTATTTGTATTCTAATGTATTCATGAATTTCTTAACTGTAGAGCCTGAGGAAGAAGTTATCGACAGTAATGGTTCGATCAAAAACCATCTTGTCCAAACTTTCTTTTTTTTCAAGTTTTCTAACCTAGTCACCATAGTAGTTTTCAATACACTTAAGATAAAATGTGGTATGCACACCTGATGCGAGGACGGTCGATTAACTAGGCATTTTATTACTGTATATTACTAATTTTTTACAAATTCCTATACTTTCTTTATCCTATCCAGTCTTACCAGGTGAATTCAATGCACGCTATTTTGTTTCTTGAATGCAATAAATGCATATATATATATATATGCATCAAGTGAATTTATTTTGTTTACTTTTTAGAGTTCGCCTACTTCATGTAAGTTCTAGAAAGATTTCATAATAACGCACTATCATGCTGGTTTTTTATTGTCGCACGTGCATAAAACTAGTTATATATATATATATATATATATATATATATATATATATATATATATATATATATATATAAGTAATCTGGAATGCTTCTAGGTTTAACGCGAGTATGTGATGTTTTCCATAGTGAAAACAAATCATATTAAACTCTAATCAAACATTAACTGATCGGTAACTGGATAAGAAGAAAGCGTTGACAGGTGGTATTCGATTGTTTTGAAGATAACTGTCAATCACTAAATTGATGAACATGTATAAAGAAATTTTAAAAAAAGAAAGAAAGAAGAAGCTGTGTAAAATTGGTAGCACACTAGAAGCGGAAAGTTATTTTGGGAACACAAATGTACAGAAAACTGCATTTAAATATCACAAAGCCTAAACCACATTATATTTCTAGTAACCAGACTACAATTTAATTGCTCATACACTCATCAGCTGGTATTATGAGTGTATATGTTATATTGTAACAATAGAAGACAATTGCCAGGCAACAGATCGTTTATTAAGGAAAATCAACACATATTTATAGATTTTAATGTTCATTATTGTAGATTATTTTTAGTAGAAAATACAGTCTTCTGATTGGTTGTTTCTCACAGAAAGTTAACCTTGCATCTCTTTGTGGCTGTGTCAGATCATCCATATGCTAATTGTATCCGCTTACGCAAAGCCTTTGTTCTCATTTTCTCACCACCAGTATTGGGGACATAAACACTGACGTCAATTACTGTCTACCAGTTTTGGATAGCAGCCAGCTATCACCACAATATGAGCACTTTGATTTTGTGTAACTTGACAGTAGATTAAAGATGTGTGTACTACTAAAAGGGTGGAAAAAAAGAATTCAATATCTCAAACTTATGTAGAGTAATCTCGAATTCAAGAGTTTTCATGATTACGGTTAGCTGATGTAGAAAGCTAATTAAGATAGCTTTACACTCTACACTCAGTTATTTACATTAACATTATATACTACTGTTTGATCTTATACTACTTACATCAACCAGTAATGTTTCCTAGTCAGATCGAGGTGAGGTTTTGACTGATTCGGCTCTCTGAGCTGGGTCAATCCGCGTAAACTAGTGATGGGCTCGGTCACAAAACTGAGGAAATGCCGTCTGGTGTTTAGATAACACCTTGATCTGGCTAGCCAGCAAGCACCACTGGTTGATATGATAGGCATATAACTACTCATCACAAACAATCAGTAGTATAAAGTTTCATGCAAATATGCTTGTTTTCTTGATGACCATTTATGGTATCAAGCAGGTCACATAATGTGATATGAATAACTTGGTTTTCTGAAGGAAACTACGGTGGCATTTCACCACTCAGACTGTGTTCATTACAACATGCTAACTAATGCGATGCCACCGACAATTATACATCTCATCCAACATTTGTACGACAATGATGTATGCCAAGTAATCCACAACAGGAAACTTACGGAATACTTCGAAGTGAGGACAGGAGTAAGACAAGGTTGCCTAGTGTCGCCAATGATTTTCCTGATTGCATAATGCGACAAACAGTGGGCAATGACGAAACAGACATAAAATGGACTCACACAAAAAAACTTGGAGGATCTGGACTTTGCCGACGATATATGTCTGATTTCCCAAAAACTGGAAGATATGCAAGTGAAAAGTAACAAGTTGGCAGAAGAAGCATCCAGAGACGATAGGACTTCAGGTGAACATAGAGAAAACAGAGGTAATCAAGATTCCTGGACAAGGACAACAACAACAGATAACGATCAGCATAAATGGGAGGAACCTGAAAGAAACATCCTCTTTTACCTACCTAAGAAGCATCATTTTAACAACAGGCAGCGGAACTGACGAGAATATCAAAGCAAGGATCGGGAAAACAAGACAAGCTTTCACTACTCTCAAGTCTGTGTGGAGATACATCAACAGCACTCAGCATCAAAAATAAGATCCGGATTTTCAACTCCAATGTGAAGTCAGCGCTACTTAACATGCGGATCAGAGACTTGCACTGCGCGTCATAAAGAGCATCTCAAACAAACTACAGACCTTCATCAACAGCTGCTCAATGCTCAAGGTCAAATGGACACAGATCAGAGACAGGGGGGATCTCTGGGAGCTAACCAATCAGGAGCCGAATGTGTAACAAATAGGCAGGAAGAAATGGAGATGGATTGGCTGGCCATACTCTGAGGAAACCATCAAATGACATCACTAGACAAGCCATTGCTCGAGTGGAACCCGAAAGGGAGGCAGCGAGTTGGTCGTCAGTGTGAGGGTGACTTGGAGGAGGTCATGTGAAGAGGAGATGAAAGCATGTGGGCAGACGTGGAGCTAGGTGAAGACTCTAGCAGAGAACCGGATGCAATGGAGACGCGCGGCTGAAGCCCTATGTTCCTCTAGGAATTAAAGGAAACAATAATAATTATAACTAATTTGCAAATTGTTAATTTCATATACGCTGAATTATGTCTTTTATAAGGGAGATGAATGCTGCAGTATCACGTGTTTCATTTATTTTTATTTGTATAATTTTATTCCTTTACATTCCCAGTGGAACATGGGTCTTCAAGTTAGAGACTTGATGTTTCGGTAGCAGCGGTGTTTATTTTTACGGGATAGGGTTGTTAGACTCATGCCCAACCCTCTCTCTTTGCCAGTTTTATAACTGGCTTCGCGAGGTAGAGGAGTAAGTCGGCCAGGGATTGAACCCCAAACCACATATTTCATGCTTGGCGAGCATTCTACTTCTGTGCCACCGACGCAGTATCACGGTGACATAGTCTAACTTCATTTTTACTAAAAGTCAGTTATGCATGACTGTTTTAAAACAACAGAAATTGTGATATGTATGAAACTTATGGTGAATTAAGTTTCTTTGCAAAAAGAGAAACCACACCTAGCCTCGAAAGATTAACGTGCTGATACTCATAAGATGTTGTGAGTACATGCTCTAGCTGTACACGACTGTATTTATCTCAACCATAATGTCTAATGAAAGACTCATAGATCAAACAATCTAAGGTAAACATCATTAGATAAAAATTGAATTCTTCAAACATTGGCTATGAATATCTTTTGTAATCTGTAAAAGTGTGGCGAGTGCAACAGATAAGATTTATCGGTAGTAAATAAGGAGACGCTCATCGGCACAAAAACATCAAATAGCAAGGAGGAAGATAGATTCGATGTCAGAGAAAGCAAGCGATACAGCGTTGTGACGATACATGGGAGACGTGAAAGAAACATAAAGAAACACAACATGAAGTCCAGAAGTACTACAACACGAAGATCTGTGCAGATGGTGCATTGAAGATAAGGTATGCATAATTTGGCCATATAGAGATACCAATTTCCAGATAAGCATTCCTTTACTGTTTCAATCGGTGTCACTTCCTTCAGACAATGGAGATTCCATAGCCAGATGCTTTCGAGGAAGGAGACATAAGGAGCTCCTTGTGGCACTTTGAAGACTTCGCGGGGTTGGTGGGCGTCAGGTATCTGATGACGAAGGAGGTTGTGTTAGGGACGCCGCTGCTAGGTCGAGCAAAGGCGGCGTGTGACACTGTGGAGCGGTCAGGTGGGATGGAGACATGGAAGCTGTTGGTTGAACGATTGGTGGCGGAGTTCGAAAGCCCGACGGACAGGTAGCTGGCAATGCAGCAGTTCTATGCAGCGAAGTAGGGACCAAACGTAGAACCTCTAGTGTTGGTGGTGAAGCTGACGAATCTACTACGTCGTGAACTCCCCACATTGGATGAAGAGTCAAAGCCGCAGCTGTTGACGTCTTAGTTCACCGAGATTGCTCCAGACCACATTTCTAGGCAACTAAAACTGGTTAACACCGCACAAACCATGGACATCGGTGAGCTGGTAAAGGTGACCAGGCAGCTGCTGAGCACAACGGTAGCAGCAATAGAACCACCGAAATTGAACGAATGGGGAGAGAAAGTGGAAGATTTGCAGCGTGAATTAGTGGCACTGCGAATGAGTACCCGGAAAGACTGATATTTTGAATGTGGCAAAGCACGGCACTGGAGGAGGAACTGCTCAGAAAGCAGCAGAAGAAAAGATTTTAGACAGTATAATGTGTGTTCTTTCTCTTCTGTCAGACTAGAAGCAGTGCGGGCTATTGAGAGGGGGGCAATGTATTCTAAATTGCAAGTGAATAGCTGAGAAGTCGTATGACTGATACATACAGGGGCGACAGTCTCACTAATTAACAGGAAGCTATGTCAAAGCGTCAGACCGTGTTCACTAACAGTTAATTTTTCTATAATATTAGAGATACCAATTTCCAAATAAACATTCCTTTACCAAGTCTTTCTCTTCTACCGTTTCAAAAGTACCGCAAACACTAAGTTTATTACAATTTCTTAAACCCTTGATATAGTAGAGTACAAGCGCTTTTCTTCTCAATAAAACAATTGCAGTTAACAAAAAAACAATTGCCACACGCATTTTGCAGTTATTCTTCACCACTATTCATATTAATATAATGATTTAAAAGTTAGAATAATGCAGTAATTATTCATTTTCACCATTCCAATACATTAATCTGGAAATCAGTAATTATTTAGCTGGTCATTTACAGATTTCCGCACTGGTTAATTCATATTTACACTTCAATGAGCAACTCTTTAGGTTAAATCTACAGGTCTCTTCATTAAACAAACATTATTTCCGTTATTTCAGGTCACTTAAATTAGGTTTTTTCTTACTGGCCAACAGCATAGAATGCTAGTTAAGTCTCTATCTCAACTTCATTGACTATGAAAAGACCTTGGATAGATAGCGTTGACCAAGAATTCATTTGGAAACTACTTCAACGCTATGAAGTGCCCTAAATCTTTATTCGCTTCATTCAACAGTAATATGACAATTCCACATGTCAAGTGATTCACAATGGGAAACGTCTCTGAGACTTTGAAATATACACAGGAGTAAGACAAAATTGCCTACAGTCACCGATGACATTCCTAATTTTGGGGAACTGGATCATGTGGCTGATTATGGAGAGCGAGAAGACGGGCATACGCTGGACTGACAAGAAAACTCTAGAAGATTTGGACTTCACGGACGATTTATGTCTAGTGTCACACAAACTCGAAGATTAGGGTTTGAATACCAGCAAGTCAACAGAAGAAGCAACGAAGACAAGACTTCAGGTGGAAACAGAGAAAACCAACCTGATAACGATAACCAACCAACAACAAAAAGCACCAGTTACTAACAATGTGAGAGCTATCAGAGAGACCTCTTCTTTCACCTGTCTAGGCAGCACCGTTTCAATCAAGTGGAAAAGCAAGAATAGAGATTTCACAACCGGAATCTGAAAGGCAAGGCAGACATTCATCATTCTGAAATCAGACTGGAAATCTTCTGCACTGCACTCAGCATAAACGACAGAATTAGGATTTTCAACACCAATATTAGTCGGTCAGTTAATTCTTCTATAGGAGCGTTGCAAAAACACTTCCAACAGTCCGCAGATTTTTATCAACAGCTGTCTTCGCTAGCTCCATACTGAAGAACAGACGGCCATTCAGAATAAATTAGCAGCTTAGAACTCAAGGAATGAACCAATCAAGAACCTTTTGCCCGAGAAATATGCTCGAAAAAATGGAGATGGAGCAGACACATTCTATGGTGACCTTCGGGTGACATCGTGCTCCAGGCCATAGCTCGAGTGGGACCCAAATGAAAAACGACAAGCTGGATGTGCAGTGATGATTTGGAGGAGAGGAAAGCTTCTGGCTAATCGTGCAGTCAGAGGACGAGGATCTTAGACAACAAGGTGAAATGTAGGCGTTCTGTTGAAGCCCAAAGGAATGACAGTTATGACAATAGTAATAGTAACAGAGTTGAAGGATTATGAGTATATGAAGTACATTAAACAACAGTTGGGTTCAAATCTAGAGACACTCTACAGTATGGAAACTCAGTCCCTAGGCAAGACACCTGATACTGGTGCCAAACACAATAAATTCTTTGCAGTGGAACATGTAGAGAGTGACTGAAACAAAAAGTTAATAGTTTCAAAGCTTCATTTACAAATTCCATCCATATTCAGTTTTTGAAGTCTATGACATAACATTTGATTCGATGTATACACAACATTTGTTATCAAGGCGTGTAAATACACTGATCTACAACTGCCCAATGAACAACAACAACCGACGAACCTTATAGGAAAATATATTGTAACTTTGACTTACAAAAAGGAGAACAGACAGGACAGAGAGGAGCCAGTCTTTCTACTTTTACATCAGTGACGTATCGGAACTATTATCTTAGTACGATTTGTTCACATTATTAATGTTGCTCGTCTTCAGACTATACAGAATAATCAGTTTCAACACTAACGTATGTATTTCACACAGGTTTACCTTCTGAACCAGGAAAGCACAAGCAAAATAACTGGTTAAACATAGTCAGTGTAATACCAGTAATTCACGTGACGTAAACATTCAGAAAGAATATGGAGCAAATACAATAATGGTCACACCAAACAGGATGAATACTGAACAACACCAATCCCGGTAACAAAAAAAATTTAAAAAAGCTGTAGTAGCATCAGAATTAAAGAATAATGACTAGCAGAAGACAAGTTTTTTTCTCCCAAAAGGTATTGTCATTCTCATTTGCTGTCTTATAAGTGTCAGTAATGTGAATAAGCAACTCTTTAAGGATGAAATTGTTGCCCTTTTGATTGTTTTTCCCCAGTGTTATTTGAAAATTTCATATTTCTCTTTTGTTTCATTTCCCTTCTACATTTCCTTCAAGTTAGACTCCAAGAACCAATGACCTGGATAACACAAACAGTTGAAAATATCAAAGTAAGTAATGTTTATAGTGACGATACTGTGGCAGACATATAGGGAATGCAGATAATTTTGGGGGCAATTTGTTGCAGTTACTAAAAATGCATAAATCCTCACAAACTACAAGAGTTATATGGAGACCAGAGGCGTTTTTCTGAATTCTAGGTGGCTTGCCACCATGTCGCACTCAAAATTGTTGTTATTAAAGAGGTGAAGGCAATTGGCAGGATGTTTTGTTTGACCTAGGTTGCGTGCTTTTTGGCACTCATTATCAAGGCATATCTGCAACCTTGAAGGAACTCATGTCACTTTGCAAATTTCGAACCTGTGTTACTCAATGGTGCCGTTAGACACATTATCACTGAACTATTTGGGGTGGCAGTTGACATGCTGTAGAATTGTAATGAATTTTTTTTTATTCCTTCACGTTCCCAGTGGAACATAGGGCTTCTAGCTAGAGGCTTGAAGTTTCTGTAGCAGTGTTTATTTTTACAGGATGGAGTTGCCAGCCTCATGCCCAACCTTTCCTCTTTACCAGCTTAGCTTTATTACTGGCTGAGCGAGGTAAATGAATTAATACTTTGATTGAATACTAGGTATTTGATGCAGACTGTAAATGTGTTCATTATTGGAAGACCCCCAAGTAAATTTAAACTACAAAGTAATCAGCGTATGAAGGTGGGAATGTGGGCCATGTAACCAAAAATTTCAAAAGTGGTTTCATCACAGACTGATATCTCAAGGAAGGTATGTTGTAAATCAAAGAGCATTAAACACGATTTTGAGAAGGATTATTTCAGATACTATCAGGTTACGAAGCAAACTGATTAAGATGAAGCTATTAAGGAAGACTTCTGTAATCCATTATTCTTTAACTTCTGGCAATTCTCGATATAATGAGAATGCTAACCAGAGTGTGTACTCATAAATGACACTGGCTGATAAAAGTTAGAATAGATCACCATCGGAAATCTATTGGAATATTTAACATAATTTGATTTTCTTTTTGTTTGACGACTGTATTGTCTCTAGAATGTACAAAATGGAACATTCTTTATTGAATATCTGACTTAGAAACTGTTAAGTGGCTGGTTGTAATTATTTAAACAATGAGAAATATGATTAGTGATTCCGACGCTAGTGGTTCATTTACCACTACTCTGAGCACAGTAATACGGCTCATTTACAGTTCTACCCGTCTCTTACTTTCCCCTTGTATAACTGAGACTGTTGTTGTGTTGTTTCTATTACACAATTTAGATTATGGTTATATGAGCAACGATCCAGTGACCAACCTCTGTCTCAGTCTAAACTTGTACCACACTTATTGTGTAATTGTATACTAGGACAAGCGTGGTAATGACCGAGGATTTTCTTACCATTTGGGGTTTGAAGAAATTCCCATATTCTTATAGTCTAACTGACTAAAATCGCCCATTTTCACTTATGTATTCGACCTCAGAATCACTACATGCCATTCACCAAATAAGATTTAAGCTATTTCATTGGATGGATAGAATCCACAAGTTGACAAATTTGTCATTAAGTATTGGTTATTTAGGGATTTTGTTTAATTGGATGGAGGATTTCATCATGAGCTGCCATCATTTAAAGAACCACTGGAAAACCTGGGAGTACTAGATAGCTGTTTCGTCCTAGTTTGAGACTCTTCATCAGTAAAGCGCCCACCCTGTTGGGGTTAGAACCCAGGATCTTCTGGTTACAAGTCTAGGGAGCTAGTAGACCATTGAGCAACTGGGACTCGATCCAGTGGCCGGCCCATGAATTCTAACTTTTGCTAATTCATGACATAGCGCGACCATTTTGAAATGTCTTTTTTGACGAGTTACTGCCTCGCCCTCAACCTACGGCACACAGCTGATGACGGCTTCCCACTAGAACCCCGGGTTAACTACTCGAATAGGGCCAGTCGCTAATGAGCATAAAATCAATATTCAAGTACTGGTTTTGTAGGGGATTTGTTGGATTGGTTGGAGGATTTCATCATGGGACGTTGGATTGGGTCCCAGGGGCTTAATGGTCTACGAGCTGGCCTTGTAACCAGAAGGTCCAGAGTTCCACTCCCAGACGGTGGGTGCGCACTGATGAGGAGTCCCGAACTAGGACGAAATGGCCGTCCAGTACTCCCTTCAGATTTTCCGATGGTTATTTAACTGATGTCAGCTCATGATGAAATCCTCCAACCAACCAAACAAAATTGGATCTTTATATAAACCACAAATGTCATCTGAGAAAGTTTCATATTTTGAAATCATCACGTTAATGAAAAATTTATCTTCTTCCAGTAGACAGCAAGTAAACTAGTTATAACCGTCAGAAAACATCAATTAAATAAACTTACCTACCAAAGTGAATAGATGATGACTGGTTAGAAGCTATTGGCAAGAAGCCTTTGACTCAGGTTTATTTCTTTTCAGCATTCGTATAGAAAGTGCGTCAGCAGAGTCAAAGGAAATAATGTCCTGTCTAAGATTCGAACTTGCGTCTCCCAGTGCTACAGCCTCAGACGTTACCAGAATTCCGTGTTTACCGCAACTAGTTCGCAGGACTGTGATGGACCAAGAGATTGATCACCAGGAAGTAACCGATGTTTTCTTGTCTAGTCCCTTCATCAAATAAGTTTGTGAAGTTGTTACACAGCCAAATGTCTGGAGTCTTTAGTACACTTTGAAGTGAGGTTGGATTACTGCAGCCGTTCTTAACTGATCTGACCCATTATACCTCACTGAATATCAACAACTTCATAAGTGATAATAAAATGAATAAAATAACCATGCATAACTGTGCAGACTCTTTCCGTTCATACTCCATAAACCAAAGCACTTTATTACAAAATATTTCAGGATAATGATCTTTCACTACATACAATTTTCCTCTTAGTTCAATATCACAATTTCACCCACTAAATTTACTGTCTAACTTTTTGTTATCTAGAGTTTAATGCTACTTCTTCATGAAGACTCACCACACTATCCCGACCTACAAAGAATATGCAAGCGACTTTTGGAGGAATCGTTGACTTCAAATGAAAGTCATGAAGAAGTTACCGCAAATGTGAGTAAAAACCTGATGACTTTTATGGAAATAAATAACTACTTTTCTGCTTATTATTATTATTGTTTCCTTTAATTCCTAGAGGAACATAGGGCTTCAGCCATGCGTCTCCATTGCGTTCGGTTCACTGCTACAGTCTTCACCTGGCTCCAAGTCTGCCCACATCCTTTCATCTCCTCTTCACATGACCTCCTCCAAGTCACCCTTGCACTGACAACCAACTCGCCTCTTCCCTTTCGGGTTCCACTCGAGCAATGGCTTGTCTAGTGATGTCACTTGATGATTCCCTCAGAGTACGACCAATCCATCTCTTTATTTCTTCCTGCCTATTTGTTTCACAATCGGTTCCTGCTGGGTTGGTTCGCTCATTGCCAGAGATCCCTGTTGCTGATCTTTTCTGGCCGGCCATCTGATCTTGAGTATTGAGCGAAGACAACTGTCAATGAAGGTCTGTAGTTTGTTTGAGATGCTCTTTATGACGCGCAGTGCAAGTCTCTGATCCGTATAGTGAGTAACACTGACATAACATTGGAGTTGAAAATCCGGATCTTATTTTTGATGCTGAGTGCTGTTGACCTCCACACAGACTTGAGAGTAGTGAAAGCTTGCCTTGCTTTTCCGATTCTCGCTTTGATATCTTCGTCAGTTCCGTCTGCCTGTAGTTGAAACGATGCTTCCCAGGTGGGTAGGTAAAAGAGGTTGTTTCTTTCAGGTTCCTCCTATTTATGCTGATCGTTTTCTGTTGTTGTTGTTCTTGTCCAGGAATCTTCATCACCTCTGTCTTCTCTATGTTCACCTGAAGTCCTATCTTCTCTGGATGCTTGTTCTGCCAACTTCTTGCTTTTCACTTGCATATCTTCCAGTTTGTGGGAAATCAGACATATATCATCGGCGAAGTCCAGATCCTCCAAGTTTTTTGTGTGAGTCCATTTTATGCCTGTTTCCTCATTGCCCACTGTTTGTCGCATTATCCAATCTACTGCAATCAGGAAAATCATTGGCGGTAGTAGGCAGCCAGCTTGTCTTACTCCTGTCCTCACTTCGAAGAATTCCGTAAGTTTCCTGTTGTGGATTACTTCGCATGCAGCATAGTCGTACAATTGTTGGATGAGATGTTTAATTGTCAGTGGCACCCTGTAGTAGCGTAGTAATTGCCAAATCACCTCTCAATCGACGCTGTCAAAGGCCTTTTCAAAGTCGATGAAGTTGAGATAGAGAGGTGACTGCCATTCCAAGCTTTGTTCAATGATGATCCGTAATGTGGCGATCTGATCAATGCATGACTTGTTTTTCCTGAATCCAGCCTGTTTCTGTCAAAGTTTTTCATCCAGGGCATATTTGATTCTCTCTAGGATGACACTGCTTAGTATTTTGCTTGGGATTGACAGGAGCATAATTCTGCACCAGTTCTTGCATTGACTTAGGTCTCCTTTCTTTGGTAGTTTGAATAAGTATCCTTTCTTCCAATCCTCAGGTACTTTGCCTTCTTTCCACACTTTCTCCAGTAGGGGCGTCATCAAGCCTGCTGTTGTCTCTGGGTCCATTTTCAATGCTTCTGCTGGGATTCCATCTGGTTCTACTGCTTTTCCAGCTTTTAGCATCTTGATTGCCTTCAAGGCTTCTGATTTCGTCGGGAATTAGTGTTCACTGGTAGCTCTGTCTCCGTCGTTGGTATTGTTGGGCGCGTTGTAGGTGGTGGTCGATTTATGAGTCTTTTGAAGTGTTCAGCCCAGTGTTTGCTTTGCTCCACTTTTCTGTTTACATATATATATTTAATTGGGTCTCAGCAGAATTTAGATCAGGGGTCTCTGCATTACTAGCCCAGCTGTATACCGGCTGAGCGGCAATATCCAACCCTCTGACGAGTCCATTATTTCAGTGCACTAATCCAGGGTAATTCTCAAATAAATCTGGTTGGTTCGATTTTTACCATGATATTATGTCATATTCAGTTACTATCCATTATATGAATAGTGGTCCATCAATCCAAGTTTAAATGAGAGAGTGTCATCGATATATATATATATATATATATCAATAAGTGAACAAAACGACAGCTAATTGTCGATCACCGTTTGTAGTGTCTCTTACACGATTAAATACACGTTAAATGAGACTAATTTGCAGTTTTCTTGTGCAATCTAACATTGATATGTTAACATAAGCGAATTACCGCCTCCGACAATGGATAACGGATGTTCAAAATCTCCATTTTGACTGAAGTATGCACTCCAAATTTCAATAAACACAACTATACTGTCTAAACTCTCCAACGAAATACTGATTATAAATAAGCAGTTTGAGTAAGTAGCTAAAGAACTACACTGTGTAATAACAACTTCCTTAAATTTTCTCCCCCCAATGAGAAATATTGCGATTCTTGTCTCAACATCTGTCAATCTTAAATCAATAATTTTATAACAGTCATATAAAATGAGTTGAGAAGGTCTTATTATAGAAACCTCGTAATACCTAAATAGTTTTAAAAATCCTAGATGAAAATAACATGCAAAGACCCATGTCATTATACCTTTCTGATATGAGGTTAGATATTCTATAAGAACATCACTCTGCCTATCTCCAGGTACATTTTACATCCGGTACTCACTACTAGTATCAAACATGCTTGTTTAAAATGCTAAAAATACTGAAATCACATACAGGAAACATCTCATGCACACTGATATCAGAATCTATAATCTATTTTAGTTGTCAAACAGCAGAAAAGCTAAATTTATGTCAATAATAGATATCTGTTTTCATTCGTGCATTTGAATAGAAGAACAATAAAGTAGAGCTTTATTTTTGCAAAAACAAGTTTAACTGATTAAAAATACCCATTAAAATTTTCAAAAGAATGGACACGGAACAAAGAGTACTCTTTTCGATAAATTTATCATCAGGTTCTGCAATTATGTATACATTATAATGAATGAATGAATTAGTCTTATGAACGACATTAATGTTTAACTAACATCGAATCAATAATATTGATAGATTACAGCTGAATAGCATCAACATAATAATAAGCTGAATGTCAGAAGAATTATGAAAGATAGTAGTACAAATTCATGAGTTTATAGTTTCTACTGAGGGCCAGGGTAGTAGTAGGGGCTGAACTTGTTTATTTTGGACACAGAGCACTGGTTGTTTGAGGCGAATTGCAATAGCCTCTGGTGTTTGGAGCATGCGGTGCTTCGATGATTTTGGCAATTCATTAGGCACCCGGTGGATTATAGAGAAGGATTCTTCTACGCTGGCTTTGTGGCCTGTTTGCACCAGATGGTCCAATACCGAACTGTTAATGGTTTTCACTACACCTTTACTTAGCCATAGTGGGATATGTTCTCGAGCACGAAAAATCAAGTTTCCAGAGCAACGGCCAATATAACTCGCTCCACAAGCGCAGTGGAATAGATAGATACAATTTGAAGTGGCTAGTCTAGGTACTTCATCTTTCAGTCGAGGTAGCACCATCGGTCTTGTAGAGAATAATACGTGTAGTTCGCCAGCATTAATTTAATTTTTTAATTTAATTTTATTATAACTTGATTCCACACAGTATTTTGGTACAAGTATGAAATTTTCAGCATGTGATATCGGTAGCCCAAATTTTGCAGGCTGACCATAGATATCAGGTGTGCGTCGGCGGGGGATCGAACCTCGGACCATGTGCATGGTCAGCGAGAATCCCAGCCCATGTGCCACCGACGCACATTCCTTTGAACTGATTTTCTTAATTTCTTCGTAATTATCTCGCTTGGTGTATCGCCCATGAATTGTAGTCGTATATATAAAGGCTTCTTGTTTACAGACAGTGAGTAGTCCTTTTCCGCTTTCTTTGTCATGTGTTTCTTGATAAATTTGTCAGGATAACCATTTTCAATCAAAGTATCATATACCATGCTTAATTCATCTTCAAATACTTCCTCTGAGCATATAGCTCTAACTCTGTGGCTGAAGGTCTTCACTAAATTTCTTTTGTAATTGATAGGAACGAAGTAGCGAAAATGTGCATATTGTCCTGTCCAAGTGCTTTTTCTATGCAAATTTCTTTTTATGCTACCGTCTGGTTTTCTTGTAAGGAGGACATCCAGGAAGGCAATTCTGTCTTGGGATTCCTCTTCGCATGTGAATTTCATAGTCGAATGTACTTCATTGAATTCAGTAATTATTGTACTCCTATCGGAACCATTATCACAAAGAATAGAGGTATCATCCATATATCGGCAATAAAATGAGAGATTACTGATAAGGTTGTTCAGAGGTCCATTTTTTAGCTTACTTAGAAAGAAATCAGACAGAATGGGACCCAATGGGGAGCCCATTGCCACTTGCCTGTAAAGCGTGCCGTCAAATTTGAAGTTTACATTCATGGTACATCTTAATATCAATTCTTTTAGGATTTCAATATGGATTCCAATGTTTATCGACTGGTTATCCACTCGTTGACATATATAATTAACTGTTTCTATTAGAGGTACATTTGTGAATAACGATGCTATGTCCGGAGATATCATGGTTTTGTCCTTGATATTAATATCTTTTATTTTGTCTACGAATTCAAATATATCTTTGGCGCTTTATTTCACTATCTTCTCATGCAATGGTTTGAGAATATTTACTAACCATCTAACTAGAGCATGGTAGGGCAAATTTTGCATATCAAGTATTGGTCTTAACGGTACCCCTGGTTTATGCACTTTAGGTAGGCCATACAATCTTGGCGTATACGTGCCCGTTGGTCTGATTTCTTCATATAAACTTTCAGAAATTATCTGCTCCTCACTTAGTTTCTTTAAACGTCTGGTTAATTCATTCTCTATGTTGTTATTGAAATCTTTCTTCTCCTCAAGTTTTTGAAACTTCTGTGTGTGCTTCAAGTTTTAGAGTTCCTCTCCCTAATGTTTAAATGATAATTAAAGTGGATGATATTGTAAATCTCAGGAATACTAAGAAAAAAAATACATCCCCTCATGAATTGCAGCATATGTCAAATT